TTGGGTTGCAATTTATGAGGCTGGTAAATCTAATGAACTTATGCTCTGCAGCAGAGGTAAATCTGGGTCTTCCATGCCTGTGGTGGTCCTCATGAGAGCCAGTTTCATCATAGCGCTTTATAGTTTGTGCGACTGCACTTGAAGAAACGTTCAAATTTCTTGAAATGTTCCGTATTGACTGACCTTCATGTCTTAAAGTAATGATGGACTGTTGTTTCTCTTTGCTTATTTGAGCTGTTCTTGCCATAATATGGACTTGGTCTTTTACCAAATAGGGCTATCTTCTGTATACCAGCCCTACCTTGTCACAACACAACTTATTGGCTCGAACACATTAAGAAGGTAAGAAATTCCACAAATGAACTTTTAAGAAGGCACACCTGTTAATTGAAATGCATTCCAGGTGACTATCTCATGAAGCTGGTTGAGAGAATGCCAAGAGTGTGCAAGGCAAAGGGTGGCTATTTGAAGAAAATATATTTTGATTTGTTTAACACTTTTTTGCTTACTACATGATTCCATATGTGTTATTTCATAGTTTTGATGTCTTCACTATTATTTTACAATGTAAAAAATAGTGAAAAATAAAGGAAAACCCCTGAATGAGTAGGTGTGTCCAAACTTTTGACTGGCAGTGTATATATAGAAAAAATGTATTCTGATTTTTTTACAGCACCCCCAGCACCCCTACAGCTAAGGTTAACGACGTCAACACGCATGTAGTTTTAGAATGGCCAACGACATGGTCTATGAATGTTAAATTGTCCCAGCGATCCACTATCGGAAGATAAAAATGTTACGCCGGTAATATGGGTGTCACGATCGTTTATGGAAGAGACGGACCAAGGCGCAGCGTGATAAGTGTACATTTTATTAAGTACTTAACGCATGACAAAACAACAAACAAACGAAACGGGAAGTCCAAGGTTACACAAAACAAACCTTAACGGAACAAGATCCCACACCGACTAGTGCCAAACAGGCTGCCTAAGTATGGTCCCCAATCAGATACAACGAGATACAGCTGCCTCTGATTGGGAACCACCCTGGCCAACATAGATCTAAACGATCTAGAACATCAACATAGAAAATAAAACACAGAAACTACACACCCTGGCTCAACATTTCAGAGTCCCCAGAGCCAGGGCGTGACAATGGGTCAGATCTTTTGACCTGGTTGGGCTAGAAGCAAGCCGATTACACTGTAGTAATAGTGCAACCATGAAGCGAACAAATCTGCTCTTGCTTGTTTCTCTAGGGTACAGCGAAGCCTTATCATTACAACAGGTATTATCTGGGAGATTTTTTCATAGTAGCACTGTGCTCCCAAAATTAAACTCCTGGTCGCACAGCAAAATATTTCAAATTGGTTGCACTTTGGAGCCCTGGTCACGATAGTTGGTGATTGCATTAGGCTACATGGCTCATAATAAGACCCATCCAAACCATAGAGGGGTGAGAATGAAATGATCATAATGAAACAACCTCCATGTATCCAAAACCATCCATATGTCCTTGAATATTATGAATATGACAATGTTGTCTCTTGTTTATGTATATTGTGATACACATAGTCAGTTTTCCACAGAGCAAACCCCAACAAGACAATTCAAAAGGCTTGACCATGACTATGTTGTTAATTGATTTCATATCTACGGACATATTCGCAATAGAAGGCTTTGTTTCTCTGAGATGCTACTTGGACAGTCTGGCTAGGCTACTTGGACAGTCTGGCTAGGCTACTTGGACAGTCTTGTCTTGGCTGCTGATGCTTCAATGTCATTGCTTTGATTTCATTCTTCAGAGCCCAATGAACAGTGTCTAGCCTCCACAGCGGACACTGGGATCCGTTTCTTCCACTGCCTCAGTCCCAGAGACAAGCACATCATAAAACAGTAAACACACATCCAATTCTCTCTTTAATTCTACATGTTAGGAGATCAGAACAAATGGTTTTGTTCTAAGGGAGAGCTTTTGAAAATCATCAAATAATATATACAGTCGTGGTCAAAAGTTTTGATAATGACACAAATACTAATTTTCACAAAGTCTGCTGCCTCAGTTTTGATGATGGCAATTTGCATGTACTCCAGAATGTCATGAAGAGTGATCAGATTAATTGCAATTAATTACAAAGTCCCTCTTTGCCATGAATGAACTTAATCCCCCAAAAAACATTTCCACTGCATTTCAGCCCTGCCACAAAAGGAGCAACTGCCATCATGTCAGTGATTCTCTCGTTAACACAGGTGAGAGTGTTGACGAGGACAAGGCTGGAAATCACTCTGTCATGCTGATTGAGTTAGAATAACAGACTGGAAGCTTTAAAAGGAGGGTGGTGCTTGAAATCATTGTTCTTCCTCTGTTAACCATGGTTACCTGCAAGGAAACACGTGCCGTCATCCTTGCTTTGCACAAAAAGGGCTTCACAGGCAAGGATATTGCTGCTAGTAAGATTGCACCTAAATCAACCATTTATCGGATTATCAAGAACTTCAAGGAGAGAGGTTAAATTGTTGTGAAGAAGGCGTCAGGGCGCCCAAGAAAGTCCAGCAAGCTGCAGGACCTTCTCCTAAAGTTGATTCAGCTGCGGGATCGGGGCACCACCAGTGCAGAGCTTGCTCAGCAATGGCAGCAGGCAGGTGTGAGTGCATCTGCACGCACAGTGTGGCGAAGACTTTTGGTGGATGGCCTGGTGTCAAGAAGGGCAGCAAAGAAGCCACTTCTCTCCAGGAAAAACATCAGGGACAGACTGATATTCTGCAAAAGGTACAGGGATTGGACTGCTGAGGACTGGGGTACAGTCATTTTCTCTGATGAAAACACCTTGTCCGGAGAAGACAAGGTGAGCGCTACCATCAGTCCTGTGTCATGCCAACAGTAAAGCATCCCGAGACCATTCATGTGTGGGGTTGCTTCTCAGACAAGGGAGTGGGCTCACTCACAATTTTGCCTAAGAACACAGCCATGAATAAAGAATGGTACCAACACATCCTCCGAGAGCAACTTCTCCCAACCATCCAAGAACAGTTTGGTGATGACCAATACCTTTTCCAGCATGATGGAGCACCTTGCCATAAGGCAAAAGTGATAACTAAGTGGCTTGGGGAACAGAACATCGACATTTTGGGTCCATGGCCAGGAAACTCCCCAGACCTTAATCCCATTGAGAACTTGTGGTTGATCCTCAAGAGGCGGGTGGACAAACAAAAACTCACAAATTCTAACAAACTCCAAACATTGATTATGCAAGAATGGGCTGCCATCAGTCAGGATGTGGCCCAGAAGTTAATTGACAGCATGCCAGGGCGGATTGCAGAGGTCTTGAAAAAGGGGTCAACACTGCAAATATTGAGTCTTTGCATGAACTTAATGTAATTGTCAATAAAAGCCTTTGACACTTATGGAATGCTTGTAATTATACTTCAGTATACCATTATAACATCTGACAAAAATATCGCATAACACTGAAGCAGCGACCTTTGTGAAGACCAATAATTGTGTCATTCTCAAAACTTTTGACCACGATTATATATATATATATATATATATATATATATATATATATACCGTACCATCCCGTGTTTTGTTTGCAGGAAGTGGATAGAGATATTTCAATTCTAAATCTTTTATTGTGACATTTGTTTGAAAAAAAGAGAGAGAAAGAAATAGGACATAATTGAAACCCTGTGACGAGTACTGAGGATACGAAGAGGTAGGACGCGGACGCAGGAATCAACAATGGAAAGGTTTACTTAACACTGAGCAAGAGCACAGCAAAGAGCGAGTACACGACATGACACTAACAATCACACACAACACAACACTGAACAGTCCAGGGCTATATAAGGGTGGTGATGAGATGATGAGATGATGAGGTGCAGGTGCGCTGGAGGTGATCAGGGTGCGTTGGGTTTCCATTCCGGTGTTGCCGAAGTGGTGCGCTCAGACCGGTGGCTCAGTAGACCGGCGAATCAGAGCGCCGGAGGGGAGCAACGGGAGGAGACGTGACAAAGCCTCTCAGTGTCACATGAATTAAAAGCGCAAAAGGATCAAAGCAGCTTAGACTGCTGAGACCAGTAAATGTAAGAGAATACACAAAAAGATGGGTGTAAACAGAGGCTTCTCCCCTGCTTATCAACTGCAAGCTTTGTTCTCAATTCAGTTAAGTGAGTCCCGAACACACCCTGATATTGTCTCTTTAATGGTGGGAGAGTGACTTGTGCTGGGCTATCGCCTTTTCATGGGGATTACAGCTAAATGCTTAAGTTGTAGGAAAATACGGATTTAGTGTCAGAGAGAATGAAAGGGAGAGAAGGAGGGAGTGCTGAAAAAAAGGACACTGAAGGATTGGTGGCGGGAGCGCGCTTTCACATTGTCTCTGTCTCTCTGTGGTTGTGAGGAGATGGATAAAAAGGCCAACTGACACACACACACATCCACACACTCACTCCATCTCTCTCTGTCTCCTGTTCTAATACATTTTGCACTGTGCTGTCGCTGCCAGAAAATGATTCAATGTGCAGAAAAAGGACAACGTTTCAAAGAACTTACAAGGAAACAAATTAAATATATCAATACAATTAAAAATTAGAAGTGTGACATTTTACGCATTTCAATTTCAGAGAAAAATAGAGAGAGCGACAGGGAGAGAGAGAGAGAAAGGGAGGAGGAGGTTAACAGACCACGGACGAGTGTCATGGGTGTGTGTGTGTCTCTCTCACTCCTGGACAGCTGTGTGTGTAGGCAAACCTAAGAACACCTGTCCCTATTGTCCATGACACACACAGCCACACACACCACTCCACTGAGCACACAACACCCAATACTGAGTAAAGATGAAGAAAGGGCCCATCCCAGGGTCGACTTATACAAGCTTCCTATTCAGACAGTTGACTGTTCAGCAGACATTACCAACCGTATTTTCTCTCTCAGGGCCTTGATGTGTTCCTCAGAGCCAATGCAGAGCTATTGTCCCTGCCTTTGTTGTGTTTAAGCAGGATGATGATGATGATGACGATGATGATGATAATAATGATAATGATGCTGATGACAATGATGAAGGCTTGAGGAGCAGCAGCTGCAGCAGAGAGACTGAGCGAGACAAAGACAATAACTGTTTACTCATGGAACAAGAAGGTAAAATATGGGCTTCAAAGTGACTGCTACTGAATGGTGACTGACTTTCACTGTGTGTGTGTGTGTTTGTGTGTGTTTGTGTGTGTTTGTGTGTGTGTGAGGGAGTGAGTGAGTGTGAGGGTGGGTGGGGGGCAGAGTGTGCAGATGGGAGAGGAAGTGGTAGGGGGACTAAACCTTGACTTACTCAAAGAGACAAAAGCACAGTCTCAGGGAAGGATAACACTATTAATCTGCCTGGCACACACAAACACACACATAAAAAACAAGCACACACACGCATAAACGCATAAACACACACACCAGTGGAGGCTCCTCAGATGAGGAAGGGAAAACATTAAAAAAGTTAACATTTTTAGATAAAACTATACTAAATGTATTCACGCCATCAAATACCTGATAAAAAAAACATTGTTTTGCAATGAAGGTCTACAGTAGTCTTAACAGCACCTTCTAGGGTAGCACCATGGTGTAGCTGGAGGACAGCTATTTTCTGTCCTCCTCTGGCTACATTGACTTCAATACAAAACCTAGGAGGCTCGTGCTCCTCACCCTCTTCCATAGACCTACATTGTAATTATGATGACTCCGGAGGAGATCCTCCAACCAATTAAAGCTTTTGCAGTATGAACTAACATGTTGTCCATCCCATCAATGTACATGGAAAGAGTGCTAATTAAAACCGAGGGTCGACCTCTGCCTGACATAATTTCATGAAGAAGGATGAGAAAGTGAGGCCATTCAATACCAACAGCTATCAAAAGTATAGCTGGCTAACAGGGAGCCTTTCATCAAGCCGCCTGTATTGCTGGCCTTGCCTGCTTTTTGGGAAAGCCTTGGGGAAAAGTGTGGTACTCTGACCTGAAGAACATGGATCGTTCAAGGCATAACAAAAGTAGGGAGCATACTGTATTTGCAAATGCCCACATCAGATTCAAGCTTCTGGGAAATGGATGAAACCACAGACATCAGCTGTCGCTCGCAGTTGTCAGCTATCGTCAGGTATGTGGATGATCAGGGCTTTATTCAGGAACATTTATTGTGCTACTTGTGTGAAGTGGGCAAGATGTGCAGTCTGTGTTTGACTTTGTGAATTCTGGAGAAACTTGTCCAAACCGCTGTAATGGCTTCGGACTTAAATGGCCTGCAGGCAAAAGTTATAGAAGTAGCTCAGAGTGCCACCTTTGTGCATTGGTATGCACACCGGCTCAATTTAGTTCTGAGTCAGAGCACTAAGTCCATTCCCAAAGTTACGTTTTTTTTTTGCGACACTGGGCGGTTTCATCACCTTTTTTTTGTTTGTTGGGGGGACCAAGAGGTTGATGTTCCGTGAACAGGCTGGATGTGCACGCTTGCCGGAAAAGAGTACCCTACCATGGATGATAATACTGTGTCGTGTGCAGATGGGTTCAAGGCAAAGCTGGAATATTTGTTATCTTTACTTCTCACTTTTGAGGAGATGTTTGCTCACACAGATGTTGTGTTTGACATAGTGCAGCAGAAAGCCATGGATGTGGCGAAGAATAGAGAATCGGACAAGCACAATGGAAGAGCACAAGTCTGATGTAGCATTCAGTGCCATATATGAGTATGCAGCAAGCAAGATCCTGAGAGGATGCACATGAGGTGGCGTCGGCAGGGCACATGGAATGTAAGGCTCACCTACAAGGTACTGTATGACTCAATTCAAGATAACATCAAGTCTCAGATAGCACAGAGGTACAAAAGCTGGGACAGCATGTGATTCCTGGAGTTGTTAGATGGTAGTCAATTTGATTAATTCAAGAGACAATTCACAGATGATGCGTTGACAAGCCTATCGTAGATCTATGGCAAAAAACATGTATATCAGGAAAGACTGTGGTGGGGAGATTCAATGGAACATTGCAAAGCTGTGTGACACAATCCTGCACTATAAGAGCAGTTGACTTGATGAAGCGATGCCTGAGCTGTACAGGCTTATGTGCCTACCATCGGGGCAACATCAAGTGGAGGGAAGCTTCTCCTGCCTCAAAAGGCTGAAGAGCTACTCTCGGAACCCTATGGGACAAGAGAGACTGAGGAATCTTGCAATTCTATCTATAGAGAGGAGAATTCTTACAATCGCTGCAGAAATATCCTCACTGGTACGAAAAGGCCATCAACCAGCTTTCCAACCCTGAGAAGAATGAACTTCGTTTTTAAATGAAGGCTTTAACATGTTTGTTTTTTTCTCCATTATAATAACATTTACATTAATTAAATTGTTAATTAAATGATGTTACAGATTTTTGAATTGAATTGATATTAATACAAATTTTGATTTCAACAGTAATTCCAACCTGCTCCACTCCTGGCCCACTGCCCCACCCCTGGCCCCCTGTCCTCTGAAGAACTGAAGAGCCTAGTGCCCGCTGAAGAACTAAAGCCCTCCTGCCGTGTCCCATGTGTCCTCTCATCCACTTGTGCATTGGATGTTTCCTCTCCAAGAACTGTGAGTAGCCCTGTCAATTTTCTCTCATTACTGTATGTAGAGTGAATTACATTTTCAAATCGGTGATTCATGTGTAACTCAATGTGCAGTATCTGCTATTTGTATTTACAGCTAAGTCTCCTCCTGTTCCCTGTTAATAGGTGATGACCACTCCACTCCACTACCAGTGTCAACTTTCTCCTGACATGAACTGAAGCCATGTCTCATGTTCCCTCTCATCCTCTGGCACATTTAATGTTTCCTCTCCAAGCATTGTGAGCAGCCCTGTCAATTTTCTTTCATTACTGAGTCAATCACATACACAAACACAAATCACATTATTACACATGAATGTGATTTAACTTCTTGCTTGGACTAACTCACTCATAGTTCTTTTGTCTAACTGTGTTGTATTATAGTTTGTCTTCCCAGTCAAATCCTGAGCTCTTCTCCACCATCCATCCATGATGAGCCTGTCCAGCACTGAAGTCATGCCTCTGAACACCTCAACTCATGCCTCATACCCTCATTCAATCACTGCTGTGATCTCTTCCCAACACTGTAAGTAGCCCTCTCATGTTTGGATGAATACCATAGTGTTTTCACGATACCAGAATTTTGACTTCGATACTGATACCATCACGATACTTGATACCAAAACGATTCCAAAGCGATACCACCAACAACAACAAAAATAAGGCGTTTTAGACAAAGTCACAGAATGGCACTTGATCCAGACAGATAAACTCAACCACAACAGGGGAGGGACCGGGTGGGCACTCCGCCTCGGCGGCGGATCCGGCTCCGGACATGACCCAGGCACGGGTTGTGCTGGACTGACGACGCACACCCCTGGCTTGATGCGTGGAGGAGGAACGGGCCGGACCGGGCTGACGAAGCGCATCACTGACTTGGTGCGGGGAGTAGGAATGAGCCGGACCGGGCTGTCGACGCGCACCACAGACTTGGTGTGGAGAGCAGGAACGGGCCGGACAGGGCTGACGAAATGCACCATAGACTTGGTGCGGAGAGCAGGCACGGGCCGTGCCGGACTGACGACGCACACCACTGGCTTGGTGCGGGAAGCTTGGATGGGCCGGACTGGGCTGGCGACGCGCACCACAGACTTGGTGCGGAGAGCAGGAACGGGCCGGACAGGGCTGACTAAACGCACCATAGACTTGGTGCGGAGAGCAGGCACGGGCCGTGCCGGACTGACGACGCACACCACTGGCTTGGTGCGGGAAGCTTGGATGGGCCGGACTGGGCTGGCGACGCGCACCACAGACTTAGTGCGGAGAGCAGGAACGGGCCGGACAGGGCTGACGAAACGCAGCATAGACTTGGTGCGGAGAGCAGGCACGGGCCGTGCCGGACTGACGACGCACACCACTGGCTTGGTGCGGGAAGCTTGGATGGGCCGGACTGGGCTGGCGACGCGCACCACAGACTTGGTGCGGAGCGCAGGAACGGGCCGGGCTGGGCTGTCGACGCACACCGTAGGTTTGGTGCGGGGAGCAGGAATAGACCGGACCGTACTGGGGACACACACCACTGGCTCTACACCGGGATCTGGAACGGGCCGGACCGGACTGGCAACACACGCCAGTACCTCTCGCCGTGCCTCTACACCCTCCATCCCCTCTTCTACCAGTGGCCCCCGTAACCTGGCGGCCTCCTCTGCAACCCCGCTGGACCGCTCCATAGCGGCCTCCTGCTGCCCCGACGTCGTGAGCCCCCCCTAAAAATGTTCTGGGGGTCTCTCCTCCCCGTGGGCCAGGCCTCCATCATTCTCGCCAGACTCTCACCCCACTGCTCCAAACTCCAACCTCTCTCCTCTTCTCTTGGCTTGGCCCAGTCGAGACTCCTACTCAACTGCTCCCAAGTCCATCCTCTTCTTCATGCTGCTTGGTCCTGTTATGGTGGTTTCTTCTGTCACGCTCGTTGGTTAGAGATGAGGACCAAGGCGCAGCGTTGAAGGTGAACATATCCTTTTATTACTGATCACACGATCAAAACAATAAACGATAACGTGACGTCTACAGTTTAACACAAACCGAAATGAACAAGAAACCACAAACACAAAGTGAAAGACAGACAGTTAAATATGGCTCCCAATCAGAGACACCCAGCTGACACTCGTTGCCTCTGATTGGGAGTCACTCAGCCCAACATAGAAAATCAAACATAGAATTACACACCCTGGCTCAACATAACATAGTCCCCAGAGCCAGGGCGTGACACTGTTCAATTGTTGGGCATCTTTTGAGTTCAATATCATTACATTTGAACATTTTTATGTCAATATTTTAGAGACAGCCATGTATGCATTAATCAATCATTTATACAATCATAAAATCAATTTGACTTTGTTTTTACCAATCTAACTGCAAAAAAATTGTATTTATTTATTTGAATGGTAAAATTCTATTGACAAACTGGATAAATCAAGATGTAGCCTAGGTTTATTTTACTTTTGTTTTTTTATTTATATTTTTATTTATTATTTATATATTTTTTTGTCATTTAGCAGACACTCTTATCCAGAGTGCATACATTATTATACTTTTTTTTTCATACTGGCCCCGCGTGTGGTAAATTCATATTATTCAAAATCTCTTCTTTTATGAAAGTGTGCGCTGTCTCTCAAGAAAATAATGACATTTGCAAGGCAGAATGTGGCTGTGGAATCTGACTTTGTGGCTATGGAATCTAGTGAAACCGGACGGGAGGCGAGGGAGACAAAGAAGTGAATGTGTTTTTGGTAGCGAGGGAGATGAATTAATTAGTAACTAGTAATTTGTTTTTGATGACAGTCAGCTTTGAAATCAGCATATTTTGCGTTATGGTTTGCATTATCACTAACAAAGTACTAGGGTAGTGAATTAATGTTAGCTTCAGCTGTAAACTAGCATGGAAAGTTAGCCTACAATTAAAGCTGGAAAGTACCGGTATCGTCTTGCATTGTAAAAGTGTTCTAGCCTGTATGGATGGACATTGTTTTGCGAACAGTAATGAACAGTTCCAACATTTCTACATGCCGTGTTGCATTATTCAAGTGTGTTGATGTCACAGTTTAGTGTGAACCCCTTTTTACTCCACCCAACACAGGATTTAATGTTGTCCAGCGCACAAATAAAATAAACGTCTCTATGGCGATATTCAGATCCGCACAGCTCTCTGTCCTGGAACGCTCCCAGTCTGAGACTCTGCTTGACAACTTCACAGATGGCCCCAACCTCCGGTGCTAAACGAGAGGAAGAGAGATGGCAGGGAAACTTGCCAACAATAGTTGCTTTCAGTGGCGTGGCAAAATGGCCCAGAGAGAGAACGAGTAGTGTAAGGGGAACACAGGAAGAATCACGTCCCTTACTTGGCGGAGCTAAAGCGCCTAGATGTGCATTGTATCAATGCCTCTCTCAGTCCTCTGCTCTCGGATCACCGCTCAGCTCCACAGCCCCAGTTCGTCGTCAGCACAGCCACCCACTTCCTCACTCGAATTCACCAGTAAGACTTCTCATCCCACAGACACTGCTCCAGTGCATTCACAGCAAACACCCAAACAGACAAGACATGGACACTTACATAGGGGATCGATCCACACGGAGAGACATTCTCCGCTCAACTCCCAGCCCCGAACACCACAAAACACAGGGCTTTTAAAGGAAATTACAGCAAATCCCCAGTTACCTGTCTGATTATCTAACTTGCTGCAGGTGCGTCTGATCCCACCAGACCCGCCACCCACTTATCCACTTATTTACCAATCCATCTCATGACACTCTCCCCCTTTCTCTGTAGTTGTCCCAACTATACTGAACAAGCCAATGGCGCCCGGTACCTAAGTGTGGGCCGTCGGTTCTCTCTGTTGGACTAACGGACTGGCCCACCTCCCTCCCCATATAGGGGCACAACCACCTCAACTCTAGCATCTTGAACCCTTGGGGGAGCAGCGGGCTCTTCTTTGGCCAGAGGAACGGCAGGGAGTCTGACAGGGTACCATGTATAGTTGTGCCAGTCTGACCTAGGGGCCTGGCTCAGCTGAACATTGGTTGGTTGGCAGGGGGTCGATAGAGTTTCATCTGGGCACGGTCTGAAGGTTTGATAGGGGCAAGGCTGCCCATGGTTCTGATGAATTGTCCATATTGGTCCCCCTCCCTCTGGTCGGACACGAAAGACTGGCAGTCCAGGCCGGAGGTGTCCTAGAATGACAAAAGGCTGCGGTTGCCTGATCACGTCGTTGGAAGTTCCGCAGGAGTACCCGTTCACCAACCATCATTGGAAGGTCCTTC